AATATTCTCTAATTCCTTAATACCTTCATTTTATTCTTGCCTTTATTTGTAAATTGGTAATTTTTACAAAATAGGATTCTTTCAGAACTATATAGTCTTTGTTTATATTTAAAACTTTAACGCTTTAATGTGATAACGGGGGACATAACATAAAAAAAAACAGTGACTTAAAAAATCTACTCTATTGCGCATCGATCGCACGGCATGTTCTACTACGCCGATCAGCGAAGAATTTAAATTTGGATTTCCAGTAAAGATTATATATTCATATCTATTGCAGTTAAACAAGACTGAAACTAAGATGGTTTTTTTAAAAGATGGTGTGATGGTGGCACGTGAAGAAAAAAAACAAAAGCTCCTGTCAATTGTGGTGTTGATTGAAAAGGAGCTTGTAGTTTCAAATTAAGTGAGGAGGAGGAAGTAGAGAAAGGCTAAATTCCAAACGTAACGTAAAAAATACCTAACAGCAGAAACTTTTATTTTAGACGTTTTTTGTGGTGTTTTCTTATAAGTTCTACAATAACATATAATGAACATCTTTCAATTCCTTATTTTTACTTTGGTTTGCACTTTTTTCAATTTTTATACTTTCATTTGCGTAACAGGTTAAGTATACCTTAAAAAAGCTGTATTGAGACTAACTAGACATATAAAAGACATTCTTCATTCTTCATTCCACAAAGACCACTAACCACTATTGTAGAAATCGCAGTGTACCTGTTTGCGTAATTTAATCGAACCCATAATAAGCATTTTTTGTCCAACGAATTTAAAATTTTATTTAAAACTAGCCTCTTAGGACCCTGCAGCGGAATCAATTATCACATTGCAAAGTGGTTGGATCATGACCAACTTTTAACCATTGTAAACGTATTCGAAAAATATCATTGAACGATATTTATGATAATTATACAAATAAGTTCAGTGATCGTTTGTTGCATAAAATAAAATTTTCTTCGAAAATCCTTTTTGCTTGGAAATAACTGCAACAACAATCGTTAATATTTGGCTTTGTGGTCGACAAAAGCTTAAGCAAACAAAAATAAAATACACACAACCCCCATGTCCAATTAAACGGTTTTTGAGGACGAATGTAAGCGGTTATGTTTGAGTAGAATTTCAAAGGAATATTAAAATACATTCGGATTTTGAAAACTTTGTTGTGAAAAGATTGAAAACATTTTTCTCCCTTACAAAACGGAAGTTTCCCATCGATTTTAGACTCAAATAAATAAACTCCGCACAATTTTGTGCTTACCAGCTAAAAGGATGGGAAGCACATAAAAGTTTTGGAAGAATAATAAACTCGAAAAAGCATCGAAACGCAAACTTGACATGGTCGAGTTAAGCCTTCCATTTTCAAGCTAAGCTTTATGTATTCACACTTGTACGGAAACTTTCCAAGTTCACTGTCCCTTCGGATTCCAGTGGCGGATTACGGATCTAGTAGGTGATATATACCCAGTTTATAATTAAAACTTTATTCCACGATTTAAGCAAGTAATTTGCAATTTTTATTTTTAATTTATGTTATTAGGAACACAAACAGTCGAATTACAGATAAGGGTAATTCAATTCAATAGTATTTGGAAATGACAATAATATTAATATATGTAGATGCTACGCTATATTTAATTATGTCAGTTGATTTGCTGATTGTTTTGATTCGTGCTAGACCTAATAAAAAGTCTAGATTGCGAAAATATTGGAATTGCTGTTATTAATAATTACGACAAAGGCTAGAGCTGGAACATGATTTTCGCTTATTATTTAGCATGACCAAAGAAATTTTCAATAAAATTATAGCAACAATAAAGAGCGAACCATTAGTCATTGTATTAACTAACCAAAACTAAGTCCAAAAACCAAAAACTCTCTTACTGCTTACGTTTTAGCCGTTAAGAGGCTGTAAATAAACTATCAATGTCGTTATCGCAAAAATATGGCTAGGAGATTCTGGGATATCCTTCCAGAAAATTGGAAACACCATTGGTCGGCACGCTACAAGAGTGATGAGATGTTGGGTAGAGACAGATAACAAAACGGCTCCTCAGACTTAGTTGCCGTTTCAGCACAGTCACCGCAATCGGACATGAGTGGAGTACAGCTACGGGTCGGCAGGTATCCATGAGAATGATTTATCGAAAAATTAGAGATTGATATTGCTAGTGAGCAATAGACAACTGCGTTTGGATCAAGAACAGGCTCGCTGGAATCAGTGGTTACTAAAGAGTCCGTCGACAAAGTGGGAAAATGTGCCAACTTCACTGTTGTATAGAACGGGGCACTGCGCTTGTCAGGGATGTTATGGTTTAGGATGCTATAACTGGAGGCAGCTCTCGTTAGTTCTTTTGGATATAAACTTAAACGGTCAACCCTATATTAATAACAAGTGACAACTAGTGTAGAAGCAAAAGAAAAAACATAACTTTATTTTCCAATTTTAGTATTTTATTTACCTAATTTTTTGGCAAAATAGAATTGACTTTCTTTTCTACATGAGGTTCCTTCCTCCAAAATAAACAGATTAGCGGTAATAAAATTATATTAGCTCATGGAAGAATGACATTAAGAATATCTTGCAATAGAAACACTAAGTGTATTATTTTTCTATGTTATGGCTGTTAAGAATAGGCATTCCGATGTCCAGTCAACAATTTACCATTTAATATAGACAGATCTTCGTTAATTATGATACCCAGAGCAAATTAAACGTAAACCAAGACATTAAATCAAGGGTTTGATAGTCCTATCGCATTCTAAGCTTTCGTTTTCTCACCAGATCTTTCCAATTTGTAATGAAAGTTCCACGCGATTATTCAAATAAATCTCTGATATTGCAAAAAGGTTAAGTCTGACTTTTTAATTAATTCAGTGAGGAGTTAGTTCAGATGAATAAATTAAAATGAAATCAAAAAAATATGTTTCCAAATGTCACTAAATATGAAACATAGAACGTTTAAAATCTAAATTACCCACTCAGAACCGCCACAAACGCAAAACGTTATAACATTCGTAGCCGCCACTGACGGATTTGATTCTAGAATGTATACTGAAAGCGCGTACTGAAAAAGTTTCGGATTTAGCTGTCGGATGCAGATGCCGTGTAGATTTTCTAGCATTGCGGCGATTGTTAACCGAGGACTAGTCTAAAGTTTTATATAATCCGCTCAAATCTTGTGCTTTATTTCCTAGTTGCTTGGTATAGTTTTAAATTCGCTTAGAGTCAGAATTGTTAACGTCTTAAAGTGTCTCATATGGCTTGAATCAAATAAAACCGTGGCGGTAATATTCAATACCAATCTGAATTATTGATTATCATTATTATTAAACTTTTTTAATTCATACGGTGGATAATACGAACTTTCATTCAAGAATTATTTTATTTGCTAAAACAGGGAAACTCTTACAAAACAATTAGAAAAATAACGTCAAGAATTTCGAGGATTGGAACAGGTGTTCGTAGAAACTTCTTATGGGAAATAGTTCAATGCGGACAAATTCTAAAAATTCGGGAAAAATCCGAGAATTTTTGATTTTATTTAAATTTATTTAATCATAGAGAATAAGTGGTACAAATATTAGTACTAAATAGTTGCTGGCGTTGTTTTAGTACCTACTCATTCTGATTGACTACTTTTACACTTTAAAAGTAAATTAAATAAATACCTTTGGACGAAAGTTGACATTCCTCTTGTGTCTTTTATCGCCAGGATGAGAAATAACGAATAAAAACATCTGTCAATATTTTTTCTACTCCCGTCTGTAAAATATCTAATTACACACCGATCTAGCATGCGGGAAGCGTCACTTTACCAGGTCGGACATTTCCGGTATTTTGCCGCACGGCTTTGGGAGCAATCGGATGTTCTCGGAGATATTTCCCACGCTTTGAATGTTGACGTTTGTATTCTTGTTATTTTGCGAAAATGTATCCAAAAACTAGAACGTATAAAAAGTATAGTATGCAACACGTTCGGTAATAGTATATTATGCAACAAGTGCGGTAAACGGCATTTGACCCACGAGTTTATTTGACCCGAGCGGAGCCAGTTTTTAATGAACGAGTGAGTTAAAAAGTTTACCGAACATGTTGCATACTATATTTTTTCTACGACCGTTAGTTTATGGGTACATTTTCACAAAACAACACGAATGCATTCACTGACATGACCGCCAGAATTGACAAACCTAAAAATTCAAAACGTTGGAAACATCTCCGAAAACATCCGATTGCTCTCAAATTCGTGTGGTAAAATTCCGGAAATGTCCGAAGTGACTCGGATCCGCGGGAAACGAAACTGACGTGGTAAAGTGACGCTTCCCGCAAGCTAGACCGGTGGGTAATTAGGTATTTTATAGACTTTTTAACTCACTCGTTTATTAAACCACTCGCTCCGCTGCGCTCCGTTCGTGTCAAATATATTCGTGAGTCAAATGCCGTTTACCGCACTTGGATTTTTTCTTTATATTATACCCAAAATCGTACAGTGAAAATTGTTCGATGCAATCAAAGGCGACAACAAGAAACGTTCTGAATGGGAATTGCGGTCTCGAGCGTCCAAGCTTACGTCATCAATTGCTTTACATTTTTGAACAAATACAAAGGTAAGTAGAATGCAAGAAAAAGTATAAGCTTTATAAATTAAGTAGCTCTTCAATAGTCTAATTCAATGTCTGGGATAACGTAAGATTTTTTGAGATTGCGAAATAAATATACCTAATCATTTGGGGTGGTGCGAGCGGAAAGGGGTTATTTTCTGCTTAGCAACATTGGACATGATTTTTGGGAGTTCCCTTACAATATTTCCTTGGTTAATTTCCCGGAAATTCCACTGGAATACGTTTTTTAAATTAAGGTAAATAACGAACTGGTCCACTGTAATATTCGCAAATCCGAATCCAAATCCGAATCTAACATCAGCCACATTTTTTTTTTGAAATTCCGAAATAAATAAAACGAATATTTGGTTATTTCATTATGGGGGGTAGTTTTATACCTTCCGACCTCTTCAAGTGGCTCTTCAATGGTCCAAGTCAATATCTGGGACAACGTCAGGTTTTTTTGAGATTCCGAAATAATTAAAACGCATATTTGGTTATTTCATTATTGGGGGTAGTTTTATATCTTCCCGAATGCTTCAAGGTGGTTGAGTAGTACATCATTTTGAAGCTCTCCTAAGTGGTTCTTCAATAGTCCAATTCAATATCTGAAACAACGTCAAGTTTTTTTGAGATTCCGAAATAAATAAAACGCGTATTTGGTTATTTCATTATTGGGAGTAGTTTTATATCTTCCCGAATGTTTCGAGGTGCTTGAGTAGTACATCATTTTGAAGCTCTCCTAAGTGGCTCTTCAATAGTCCAATTCAATATCTGAAACAACGTCAGGTTTTTTTGAGATTCCGAAATAAATAAAACGCGTATTTGGTTATTTCATTATTGGGAGTAGTTTTATATCTTCCCGAATCCTTCGAGGTGGTTGAGTAGTACATCATTTTGAAGCTCTCATAAGTAGCTCTTCAATAGTCTAATTCAGTATCTGGGACAATGTCAGATTTTTTTGAGATTGCGAAATAAATATACCTAATTATTTGGGGCGGTGCGAACGGAAAGGGGTTATTTTCTGTATAGCAACATTGGACATGATTTTTGGGAGTTCCCTTACAATATTTCCTTGCTTAATTTCCCGGAAATTCCACGGGAATACGTTTTTTAAATTAAGGTAAATAACGAACTGGTCCACTGTAATATTCGCAAATCCGAATCCAAATCCAAATCTAACTTCAGCCACATGCTTTATAAAGGTGTGTTGTATTCAAACTATGAAAACGACCGTCACACAATACATGCGTTTTAGAACTAGAATAATGAAGTTTTCGTACAACATTTCTTAATAAAATTTTACAATTCAATTAGATTGAATTCTCCTACACTCAACTGTATATTATAATTGTTGGCTTTGACATTGGTGAAAAAAAACACCAACATGAATAAAGCCTATTATACCAGTCTTGAAGTGTCAAAATAAAAAAGTGACTTTTGTTTTTTTATAGATACCTTTTAGAAATAACTAAAAAAAATAAACGGTATAGATTCTATTTCTTTTTATTTTAAACATCTCCTGAAAATTTTCTGATTTCTCATCGATGTACTGTACTGGTTCCTAGATTGGTCCATTAAATTCATAGAATTCTCTTTAATTTCGAGTGCTAATGAGGCTGTAAAATTTCTATCAACTTTCCCCTCTGCCTACCCGAAGTTAGTGGATGTCATCGGTGGACGACATCATTATACAAACAAAATAACCCTCGAATTAAAAAATTCCCGCCGGGAATTTGGTTTTCAGCCCCAGGTGCTCGCTGTTTTGCGGCTCAGGTGCTGTTTGCATAGATGGGGTTGCCTGGGCGACGGCTTGACGTTATATTGTCCCTTTCGTAATAATCCATGGAAAGAGGTTTGACTGGATCTTTTATCTTTGGTAAATACATGTGTGTAGTCAAAGAAAAAATCTCAGGAAATTGTTGGAACTTGCCAGTAAATTTCCTAATGTGGTGAATATTTTAATTTATTTTGATTTATGAGAACTTAATCGCGAATAATCGATTTGAGGTTAGAATTGTTATTTCATATGCTTTCCATAACGGTTACTTATTAATATTCTAACTACTATTTTCGCCCAGAAAACACTGTCAACGAAAGTTATTTACTGCATGATGCTATGTAATCTGCGAGGATATTCATAACGATCCTATTGTCCAATAGCCTATTTGCGTAAACCTACAGCTATCGAATATTTATAATAAATTTGGTAACCTGCATTTCTGCATACATAGATGTCTTCCTTGTTTGTCATTCATTCGTTTTCCCAATTCATTACATAAAATACCGGATAAACTCCAGTTACTCCAAACTCGGTATTTTTAATAAATCCCTTTACGTATCTAGTGGTTTGGCGTGTAATCTTCTTCAACTGGACGACCAACCAAATCCTTATAACACTCGTAAATCATAATACTTAGTTCAATCTTGGTAATAGAATTTGAGAAATCAATGTGATATTTATTGGAATCTATCCGCACTGATTAGCTTTAATGAATCGTAAATCCTACAGTATAAATATTTTCTATACGCTGGCTTCAAGTTGCTTAATAACTCTAGAAATGCATTTGACGGGAACGGCGATCGTTATTTAAGTTGATGTATTTCCTAGCATAATTAATGGATGGAAATGGACCTGATTACGTTTTGTCTTAGGCACATGTTCGTTTTTATTGACGAATCGCTGACAGAATATTTTGGGAATGATTTTGCAAAATGCATCTATAGATCGACTTCTAAATTAACAAGGTTCGCGTCTGCATCCATAGAACCGATCATGATCAGTTTCAATATGATGTTATATTGGAATTTAAAAGAATATTGATAACTATGAATATTAAGCATATATTTCGATTTGATTTTTATTCTCTGATGGTGGAGCTGCTAACAAATAATCACACGTGGCCGTTTGATAGTGTTTTCTAAGGTTTGCATGTTACCTTTAAACCGTTGATCATCAGCGTATTCTTCTTAGGAATAAGCGAAAATAAATCATTATTAAAGGCTCTGTGATGAGTTTTTGTGGTGACGCTTACATACGATTACTGTAAATCCACTTTTGTCTAGGCATAGCTGATGTCATTGAGTAAAACATAGCCAAAACTAAATTTTGAATTCTCGTATTGGATGGCATGATTGTCTTAAGAAAATGTTTGATGCTGATAACGATAATCTTAGATGTTAGTTATTTGCTACGCCTGCATACTTTAAACTGCACATTAAAACTGCGACTCGTGTCTTAAATTGGAATTTTAGAAGTAGAGACAACTTTTTGATCAGAAATAATTTGAAATTGCTCAATTAGTAAGCTTTTCGATATACTAATGGTCAAAATACTAGCACAAGTGAGTTACTTCCTTTCGTAATTTGGATTTACGACACTAATGGCTAAATTTGTTGCTCAATAAACTAGATTAGATTAGACTTTTTTTTGGGGAGACCTTAATGCATTGTCACATCACCATCCGACCCAAAAATTATCGGTTACAGAACCCTAAAACTATCTCAACCCGAGTCACTGAACCAAGAATTAAAACACCTCACCTCTTTCTTCTCTCTAATAATTTCCACATTACAGATATTAAGGGTTCCATCACAAAATACGCTTCATCACAACATTCCAATAGCAATGACACCGAAAACAATCCAACACCTGCCACTGTTGTCCTTCCTTATATTCAAAACATCACTGAAAACATATCAAAAGTTCAAAAGAAATATAACGTCAAAACCAGATTTACCACTTGTCCAAAAATCTCTCAACTTCTTTGATCCGTGAAAGACAAAATTCCATTTGAGATGCCAGCATTCTGTGCATATGCGGCAAAGAATACATTGGAGAGACCGGACGAAAAATATCAACTAGGCTCAAAGAACATGAAAGAGCCTTAAGACTAAGACAAACGCATCGGCATGCCGAAAATTCTTGCATCAATCAAACCGCGATTCAGGTCTCTACCAATATGGGAATCAGTCATCCAAGACGGTGTTTAGGCCCCTCATAGTTGCGTTGTCAGCTATTTTGAAAAAAAAGGGTATAGGTAAAGCAATGATAATTTGAGAGCAACGAATATACTGTTGTAAATTTACTAAAAGAATTGAAGATCCATTAATTAAACGATTTCGCCTCTTGAGGCATTTCAGAGTCGGCAATAAAGCTTAAAACATCGTAATCCCACAAGGTTGGTCAAAAATATTATTAACTGAACTGAGGTGGCTTTTACTTGATGAAAATATTATTGCCGATTCTCTACGTTGTCTATTTGAAATATATAATTTATTTATATATATAATTTATAATTGTTTAATATTTTTACTAGACCGATACAAAAACAAACAAACACGTTGCTACCAGTATCAGCGACAGAGATTGATTTATCTAATTTGTATATCAATAATTTTGTAATTTTATATCTCAACATAATATCCCCACCAAACAAATTAAAAAAATGTGAGTGAATAAGGTGATCTTATACAGGGTGTCCAGAAATTAGACGTCAATAATTTAACCACGTATTCTGTGACCTAAAATGTGGATAAACGTTCCTATAAACTAGGGTCCCAAACGTCTTAGTTTATAACCTACAGGGTGTTAAATTTGAAGAGGTGATGGCGATTTTTTGTAAATATATTTGGTTGTAAATAAATTTGGTAGAATTACTAAACTTTTTAGGCTCAAATTAACGAACTAAAACTTAGTATTCACGGGTGGGTAACACAGCGGAGGCACGGGAAACATTTGTTCCAATTTTTTTGGTTTATCTAATTTTCGTAATTTGGCTGCAGAATTTGAAAATTCTGAAGTTTCCTACGTAAATGAACGCAATGAACAAATGAAATGCGTCATTAACTTCCAAGGCTTACTAACTAAATTACTAAAAAAAAATTGTAATTAAATTTTCATAATCATTTAAGTAGAAAAATTCAGATTTTCAAATTTTCCCCACGCCTCCTCTGTGTTATCCATCCCTGAAGACAATCCAGTACTAAGTTTTAGTTCTTTAAATAGAGCCTAAAAAGTTTAGAAACTGTACCAACTTTATTTAAAAATACTTAAGTGTTTCGAAAATATTTACACCTCTTCAAATTTAACACCTTGTATGTTAAAAACTAGGACGTTTTGGACCATAGTTTATATGAACTTTTATCCTAATTTTGGGTCACAGAATACATGGTTAAAATGTTGACGTCTAATTTAGGGACACATTGTATATGGGTTTATTGCTTTAACATTTATCTTCTAATCCCTTTAAATGCCATCAAGCATATCAAATTATAACTTTTAGATAATAAATCTGAGAAGAAATAGTCTACCTGGTCTCTCGACTTTCCCATCAACTATTTGTTTAATTTGGATGTTGGGCGTTTAAGATATCATAAACCCATTCACATTTTAAACTAACCTCAGTCTAATCCGTTGCTTAATCGCAGCTTAAGAGACGCGATCGGAATTAACACGAAACGGGTCGGAAGTTTTCGATGAGCTTTTTTCGAACAATGCAACCATTAACAATCGACGATATTGCAACAGGCAATTTGAAAAACGCGAGGTACCGTATCTTTAAAAGGTTTTCCCCCCTATTAGGAAATGAACTGCCTGATTTACAAATTAACTAATCCCCTATAGCAATCGGAGCGACCTATCTCTGCACAAACTGAAACCGCTTTGCAACGTAGGTAGTTTGAAACCGCGTCGACCACAATTTATCCACTACGCGCGGTATAATGGTAACATTATTAACTATCCGCGAATAACGCAATCTGGAATAGTGTGTCCACCACGCTGATATTTTGAATGACACGAAAGCCACTTGTTGCTATTATATACGGGGCGTCTCAGTTGATCGCGGTCCGACTTTAGTGGTGGATAGTGTTTATGAAATAAAAATATATCATATAGTCGTGGGCCAACATATGCTTAGTTCTAGAGTGGGTTGTAAAACTTTTGAAATAGTTATCAAGTTTTATTTATATATGGTGTTTTAAAAAACATGCAGCAACGCTCGGCTGGAGATTCGTCATACAGAAAAAGAGAAAAAGAGTATATCATACGTAGGTCCGAAAATTCGTAGTTATATAAAAACAAATGTTTGGACTTAAGAAGACGAAGAAGAAGCGGGTAAAATGAGAACGAGATAGTTGTGGAAAACTTTCGGATACCTGTAGTTCGATGCGGATTGTGTTAAGATTTTAAAACGTTTTAATAGAATATACTAAAATGTTATGTGCTTCGATTTGCGATTTTGTTGCAATTCGCAGGGCAAACTCTGCTTTAAGTAGATAAAAACAATGAAGAAAACTTTTTAAGTAATAAAACAACTTCAATAATAGGAAAAATAAAATTTAAAGTTCAAGTACATACATTAATAATAAGTGCAGTCGAAACAAAACTCACATTGTTTCGTTCGTGCAATACGACCCTTTAAAAAATGAAAGGGTTTTACGAATTCTGGAGTATATTTAGGATATCGATAAAACAAATTAAAATCAAGCAATCTTGAAAACTATTGAATTTCTGTGTAGACACATTTCCTTAAAAATTTTCTTATGAACTTTTTCCAAATATGGTTTCTTATTTTATAGTGTATTTTTCTATTTTTAAAAAACCTAAATTCTGGATATTTCTCGACATATCATTGAATGAAACAAGGTTTCCCCTCATTTCTTAAAAAAGTTACTCAACTTACTTAATATTACCACTATAATTAGACTAATGACCTAATTATGATTACATCCATACTCCCACTTCTACCATTTCTCCTCAAATTTTCATAAGCGTCCACTTATGCTTACCATTTTACGTTCACTAATGTTCACTAATCACTTCTAACTACCATTGCTTCCAGAACTTTCACTAATTTTCATCCAATATGTACACTAAATAACCACAATAAAATTCCCCCCGGTACCTACCTGTCTGTTTTTCCCTAAATTTGACACTGTTTTAAAATGACACAAGCCTCTATTAATTGACAATTTCTAATTAGGCGTACTTAAGTTCAATAAATATGTAATATAGGAAAAATGCCTAGAAATATTTGCAATTGCACTTCTTGATTAGGTACGGTAGAGGTTTACGCAAGTTATAATATGAACTTAATTTGTTTTAAATACCAGATATAGTGATAGGAAATATTCCAAAGGATCTTCTAATATTTTAAGGTCCCTCTTTAACCAAAAGTAAAAACCGCCCAGTAACGTTAATTTGGTCATTTTAAAAGAAAACCAAATCTGAAGATTCGGAAAAATATAAATGACAATTATTTAAAAAAAATAAATTCCATATCTCAGAATCCAAGTATTTGATGACCCTTATATGGTAACATTCTGTCACAATAAACTTATAGACTAATGGTTTAATAGTTTCATTTTCTTAAGTTTTTTTTTTTCAAATTCTTCAAAGTTATGCTCTATCTTTTACAATTTTAGATATCTTAAAAGTGAGCACGATTGATATGCGATCGGTAGGGTTGGTGGAAATAATTGTGTGTGATATATAAAATTTTTGTTGTTTAAACCCCGTCCCCAAACTTATAGAATTATTTAATTAGATCCACCGAGACAAGAGGTTCTTTTATTCACACGATGGCTTCAGGTTTCTGCAGTCTCATCTTTATGCTGTGGATGAATTTACATGTCTCATACCGTAATAATAGAATAATGGCTTCCAGGAACACAAAAGTCCTTTCCGGCTCGAATACGTTTTACGATGCATTACATATTCATCTCGACCATGTAAATATACACTCGCAGAACAAATAATATATCTTGGGTGATCTCACTTGGAACGTCAAACAACAAACCTCCGTCCTTTCAAATAAAATGACTTTACGATACAAGAATTATGGGCGGCAGTTCAAACATTCAAATAATTCTTTGAAAGTAGCAGAAAAGTAGAGTCATAGTTCGATTTTAATGAACGGAGAGAGAGATCGCTGAGATGAAGTTAAATGATTGCCAACTTCGTAACTGGTTAATCTGTAGGGTTAAGTCGTAAAACTTGCCTGCACAGAGTAAAGAAAGTGCTTTGGCTCTAGCTCTACCTACATTGGCGCACCATTTGAATATTTGAAGGTTTTTTTATCGGATACAACAAGAATCATATTTCCACAACATGAATATATTTTCATATCTGCGACTTTTGTAAAATTTTGTAAAATATTTATCAGAATGTGTTAAAGCGGTTGAAGTAAACATTATTTCTCAACCAGCGAGGCATATATGCGAGCGTAGCTTCATTAGCAAATACTTTTGTCCTGATTTAAATTCAGTTGGTATCTATGTACTGAATTTTTGCTGGTATGGCTATTTTACGATACCGTGAAATAAATTCCTATTTTGCTCCCTTGCACTAAAAATGATATAAATAAAAATAAATAAATAATAAAAAATAAAAAAATATAAATACGCGCACCTACAAAAATGGGCATGGTGTAATAAGGGATACCTGACTTTTGTTGTCAGTGTGACTTTTAGTGTCAAATAACTTTTTGGTTTGTGGTGTGTCGTTCAATTCAAAATTCTTGTGTAAATGTTCAATCTCCGGTCGCGTTACTAGTAAAATTGTTTAAGATGTGGAATTTTTGTGACGCTTCCTATTACGATGCGTTCCTTTCGCCGTCGAGATGTGACACTCGAGACCAGTCTCTTCTAAGGTTTGTTATAGACTTATGAAATTTGGCACTAAGCGTTTCCCCAAAATTTGTTATTCAAGGAACACTACGTAAATGTGCAAAATTATAAGCAGCAATGAAGCTATGAAAAAAAAAATAAAAGTGTTCATAGATATACAACAACAGAATACAAACACAAAAGTAAAAAAACTCTACATTTACATTTAACGAAAAGTTTCACTTACAAGCAACAAAATATAATGCAACTAAATATCAAATATTGTAGAGACTAATCAACTATCGACTAAAAAACGGGTGTTCATTGTTCATTGGAGGGACATGCGAAATTTTTCCAAAAACTCTTAGCTTTTGAAGTCCATTGCATTTCTGTTTGTTAACCAAATTTTTGTAATAATGGTAGTGTTTTCAGTTTTACTAATTTTGCAGCACGCACAGTTGTTTTTTTTCTGACCTTGTTTTAGGGATCCGTTCACTTAACTTTTTTTTTGGGTTCCTGCAAATTATCTTAAAAAGTAACTAAATTATAGACAACAAAAATAAATTGTTTCGGTTTAAAATGTCACTGTCAATATCACGAACGGTAGCAGTTGACAAAAATAATTACTTGAAAACCTGTGTGACGAGTTTTATTTGTTTGTTTAAACACTTCTACCAATCTGGTTTAGAAAAATGGATAAGGATGATTATTTGCTCAATGTTAAAAATTCTGAACCATTTTGTATATTCATTCAGTTGCATAGGTTTTTGCGTGCTAGTTTTATCCTGATACTAAATGTTTATGTGTATGCTAAGATATTTTTACATGAGTGTAATTCAGCAAATTAATTTATGGTCACTGCTGTCGCAATACTGTTGAGAAAAAACCAACCATACACGTACGAATTTAAACAATCACCCAAAATCAAATTCAACCGGAAAACCTTTTGCCGATCCAAATGTGTCAGTTTTGTGCTACGCACTGTCAAATCTGCGCTCGTACAATTCTGCGTCACAGCGTATGGGCGGTTATCGATATAAAATATTTTCGGTTTCGCAGTGTTGTCGCGTTCGTCTACTAATAGCGACAACTTTTACTTTTTTAATGCGACAAACTGCATAATTGTTCCATTTCTCTCTCCATTAACGGTTTCTGAAAATTTTTGAAAAATATCTCCCTATAGCTTTCTCTAGCATTTTGTGAGATATCATTTTCCATATTTTTCGACTGAAATATACTCCAATTTAAATTTTGCGGCTGTTGAGTATTTAGAAAACTGTCATTCTGACTGCAAGTTGCCAGTATTTATACTGTTTCTATGTACAAGAAGTTTACAAACTGATGCTCTACTGTTTTACACAAAATATTTGAAAAGTTCTCTTTTCAAAATGACTACCGTTGTTATAATAGATAATAAATAAATAAATAAATAAATATAATAGATAATAAATAACTCAAAAGCTTTCCATTTTTCATTCATTCATCTGACTGTTAGAGGGGCGTTGCAGCAAGTTTCGGCAAATTGCTAAGTACTGTTTTTCCAAAAAGTCTAAATAAAATGAAAAGTGGAAAGGAATTTTAATGATAATAGCATTTACAATCAACAAAACCCTCGGTTCCCCTACATCCAAATATATTTTTTTAACAGTTCAGTTTTTGTTCTTTTATATACATAGTTATAATTTTATTTAAATAATTAATAACTCTGTTTGTTCTTGGTCAGGTTAGGTTAGCTATTGGAAAGTTTTTCTTTAAAAGTAATTCGCAAGAAACTTTTTCTACCTATAATTTGGGAACAAATATGTCGACGTCGAAGCCCAGATTTTATGCGTTTCACGGAGTTCGCTTCGAAAACTTTATCATTTTCTGCACTTTATTAAAATGCGGGAGTTCGGGGGCAACTTTCCTTTTTTTATTTCCGCCAATGGCTAAACTTTTAAAAATTCAACACACTACCGAACTTTACAAAGCCACAAGGAAAATTTTGTTTTTATTTTGCATTTTTCTCGATTTCTCAGGTGCACGAATTTCGGTTATGAATGCCGAGTAATTCAACACTCGGTCGTGTTCGGTGTTACGAAGTCGGAATTCATGATTTGCGTGTAGCCGCTAATTTAATATAAAGTTTAAG